TGAAGCAAGCTCTCCTCTTACACGGTGCTGTAGCGTCTGACGTTTTCTAGTTTTCAGTATGGAGGCCTTCACATTTTTTTTTTTTAAGATTTTTATTGGGGAATTGGGGGATGGGAACAGCGCTGGGGAATTGAGAGAAGGGGAACAGACAAGTTGCTGTCCTTTTGTCTTCAGTCTAGCTGTGGAGGACGTTGCTTCACTGGCCCAAGTTGGCACCATCATTGCGCTCTTCCCGGGCGAGGCAGATCAGTCGCCGGCTTCTGGACGGCCGCTCACAGCGGCTTCTGGCTGCTCATGCTGGCTGCTGGCTACACACGGTAGCCCATGGCAACCCACTGCAGCAGGGGACTGCAGCCTACGCCATCGCCAGCGACTCAAGGCAGCCCAGCTCCAGGTTGAGCTGCTGTTCAGCATCTTAGCTGTAGAGGGCAGTGTCACTGGCCCTCATGTGTGGGATCCAAACCGGGGCCCTCTGGCGTCCCAGGCCAGCTCTTAACCATCGCGCCACTCGGCCGGCCCTAGATTCACTTTTAATGATATCATAATAGAGGTTATTCTGACTACCTTGTTTTCTAACTTTCCTCCCCTACTTTAAACATTCATCATAATAGCAAAAACTGCTAGGTGTCCCATAATGCAGTTTTTATTAATAAATTATGAATATTTTCACATAACAGCAGAAAGTCCAACTGACAGCAAATAAACAGCAACTAGAAAAATAATGCACATGCCTATAAGTGAAATTAATATGCAGTGGCATACTGACCCTTGAGAAATAGGTACATATGTGTAGAAACAGACAAGTACAAGGATGTGAACTTCAACACTGTCTATAATAATAAAAAATGGAAAATAATCCAAATCCTAACTGAAAGGGAAATAACATAGTAATAAAATGGAGTACTACATAGACATTAGAAGGAATAAATTATATATATTTCAACATCAATGGAGTTTAAAAACCTAAAATTGAATGAAACAAGTTGCATAACAAAAATGATAATATTGGGGCCGGCCGAGTGGCTCAGTTGGTTAAGGGCATGAGGTCTGAGCAACAGGGTCACCAGTTTGATTCCCACATGGGCCAGTGAGCTGCACCCGAGCTGAGCTGCCAACAGGTGGCAGGATGGCTCAGCTGGTGAGAACACGTGCTCCTAACAAGGTTTCCGGTTCGACTCCCACATGGGATGGTGGGCAACGCCCACCCGTAACTAAGATTGAACACAGCACCTTGAGCTGAGAGGCTGCGAGCTGCCGCGGCCAGATGGGGACTGGACTTGGAGCAGAGCTAGCTGCGCCCTCCATAACTAAGATTGAAGGACAACTTGGCTGTTTCCCTTCCTCAACTCCCCAATAAAATCTTAAAAAAAAAGATGATATTAATAAAGATTTAAAGACAAAAACACTACACACACACACACACACACACACACACACACACACACACACTTAAAATAAACTGGAGTGCCGGCCAAGTGGCGCGTTGGTTAAGAGTTGGCTTGGGACGCCAGCTCTGAGTAGCAAGGCCATCGGTCGTGTGTCGAATTTCACATTAGGGCCAGTGATGCTGCGCCCTCTACAGCTAAGATGGTGAACAACAGCTCGACCTGGAGCTGGGCTGCTAAGCGACGGCGTAGGCAGCAATGGGTCTGCAGTGGGCTGCCGTGAGCTATTGTGAGTGGCTGGCAGCCAGCGTGAGCTGCTGTGAGCCGCTGTGAGTGGCCGTCCAATGGCGGGTGACCGATCTGCCTCACCAGGGAAGAGCGCAATGGTAAAACCAACATGGCCAGTGAAAGGACACTCTCCACAACTAGACTGAAGAACAAAAGGGCAGTGACTTGTCTGTTTCCCCTTTCCTGATTTCCCAACACTGTTTCCCCTCCCCCCAATTCCTCAAGAAAATCTTAAAAAATAATAATAAAATAAAATAAAATAAACTGGAAAGGTCCATGATGGTGGTTACCTCTGGGGAAGGGGAGAAAGAAATGGGCAGGTGGTAATCAAAGGGTTCTTTAGTTTGGAAGCAAACAGAACCAACAACGTTAACAATTTAATAGAAATTAATTCTATATATAGAAATATGAGTGCATGTGCTTTTGTACTTTTCTACATTTTCCCATTTCTTAAAGAAAAAAACCTATTACAACTTCAATGGCTGCGTGATATTCAATTGCACAAATATGTCACAACACACTCAAGCAATCTCTAACTGTTAAGACACTGCTATATCTGCCACTATCATAAAATTGTTGTTACACATACACACAAATTTCTTAGAACAAATTCCTAGAAACAAAATTACCAGGTCAACTCTAGGTCTTTGTTACACATTGCCAAGCTGCCTTCCAGAAAAGTTGTAACAACTTACATACCTATCACCAAACTACCTGCCTATTGCCTTGCATTCTCGCCACTGTGGATACTAAAATTAAAAAACTGTCTTCACTCAAGTAGGTGTGCGAGGCAGGGATCTAATTTTTTTCCAAACTATTAGTCATATCACGGATTACACCATAATTACTGAACAACTAAAACATCATCATAAAGGGAATGAAACTTAGGCTTCATTAGGAACTTGTATACGATATACCATAAAATAACAAAAGAAAGATATTTTTTGTCCATTTTTTGTGTTGCTCATTTCCCCCAAATTTAGGCTGAACATAATTACAGAGCTGGTTTTACTTTAGAAAGGAAGACTATTCAGAACTAGAGACTGGTGTATTTTATTGAAGTAGTTTATACTTTAAAAGATTTATTCATAAAGCAAGACAATTTGAAAAGGTTTTCAATTTTGTAGCCTGCGAAGAAAGACTTGTCAGCTTCTTGATCTAATTATACTGGTCTTTAATCATCTAAAAATATTTACTACTAACTATAGAATTTGGTCAGTGACAAATACCTTAAATTTCCATAGCCCTTTTCACCTCTCACACTAGATTAAATAAGTCAGTTGAGAATTACTAATAATTAGTATTTACACAGAACTTTATTTACTACAACACTATAAAGCAGGGCAAAACAATTATCACCATATTAAGAAAGGAAGATGCTGAACCAGTTAGGCTAGTTGTCTGAAGTCATACTAAAGCAGGAACTTGCCAGAATTAGACACTGCAGCTCCTGTAGCCTAATTCCTATACACGTCATCACCCAAAAGAATGACTGTAAGAGTTCTAACTACTCACGAAGAAGCCTAAAACATACCAGAGTCAGAGAATCATGTTATTGAAATGATACTGACGACCATCTATTTCAACATCCTTTACAGATAAGGAAACTGAGGCCCCAAAGATGATAGAACTTAATTGTTCAACGTCACACTTCTAGACACAGTAAAGTAACAAGGAGAAATCAGCACTCCCAAATCCAAGTTCGACAATCTTCAATGGCTAGAGATTAATGGCTATCCTTTACTGCTGGCCCAAATTTCTGAGTTTATAAAAACGCCTCAATGTTTTCACTGATAGCTATCAACAACTCATTCACTTACTAAACAATTCATTAATTAACAACAGTTATCCAGTACCTACTGGGAGCCAGGGCCTGTACTTGGTGCTAAATGAATATTTACTATGTGCTAGGCACTGGCATTGCCTGCATTTTCACATTTAATCCTCACGATGTTATTATAAGGTAAGCACAATTATTATCTTGATTTTAAGGATTAAACTTTAGCAAATGAAGTAATCTGCCCACAGTCTTCAGGAAGGAAATGCCTTTATAAAAGGTAAATGGTGTTTTTCCGCCTCAGCAGCGACTGAAGAGCAGCAGCCAGGGCTCTGGCACCCCAAGGCTGTGAGCCTCAACAGGGGCCACAAGGTGACCAAGAATGTCAGGAAGCTGAGGCCCAGCAGGTGGCGTGGGTACCTCACCAAGCACACCAACTTAGTGTGGGCAAGATCCCAGAGGTGTGCGAGTGGCACCTCCACAGGAGGCTGAGCAGTGTTCCCGCTGCAAAGGGAGAAAACCACTGGCTGCTAAGGATGGAGTCTCCCCTGCCCCCCTCTGTGTGCATAAATAAAACTTTACAGAAAAAAGGGTAAGTGGTATAATCACACTTATAAAATGATTCTAACAAAAATCATTGTTGTTTTAAACATAATTCCCTGTATGATTTCATTTGAAAAAAAGATCTACTGTCAATAAAGTTTGGAAAACCATAGATCCCCACAAAGCACCTAAACAATGACCATATAGTAAGTACAGAACTTGGTATCAGATTAGAGGTTGAGGGTCCCTGTTGGAGGGCCTTAAAATATCCTTTTTTTCTTATACTTTCCAAGACCCCAGAACAGATGACACTTGAGGAAATTTAACTAGGCCAGTTGCTAGGAAAGTAATCATTCAAATAAAAGAAGATATGGGGAAGGGCTTCTAGTACCATATAATGAGTTTGGCCTGAAGAATATAAAATAAGGTCTAAAGTAGAATACATGAGTTCTCTTAAGTATTACTCATAAAATAGTACTACAATACAGGTTACCTACTTTCAGAGCATAAAATCTCTATGGTATAAAATCAAATTAATTAAAAGTTAAATTTACTGTCTATCCCAGCAGGAATTCCTTTATCTTTGATTGCCAAATAGATTTCACAAGGTCCACAGCAAAAAATCCAAGTGCTAAGCAATGCTATTCATATAGAAATTTACTAATAAACTTTGTAAATAATTAAGAACCTAATGATATTCTTAAAAGCAGTAATCATCCTACGGCCAACCTATAAGGAATGGAGAACCTTGAAAAAAACTGGAGCATAAAAACATTTTTTAGGGAAATATTAATTTTAACAAATGGTCTACTGCTTTGGGAAATGTTTAAGAAAAGCAAATCAAGCAACCATTAAAAAGAAATCTACCATTCCCCCTAGACAGTGTGTTTTTATCCCAGCCATAATTTTGGTGCTATAAATCGAAGACTAAGAAAAATGGCATTCTGATAAGCAATCTGTCACAGCAGAATGAAACCACATGCAGTATTTCTAATGTAAAATGTTACCTGAAAAATATGTCAGAAGTCTTGCGAGGACATGCTCATTTACCAGTTCAGTCTTGCTAAGGCTGGAAATGACATCTATGCTAGCCGTTTCTTTGATAATGGTGGGCTTTTTGGAAACCCCAAGATCAGATCCACTCTTGACATCTTTGTGTTCTAGAACATCATACGATCTCTGTGGCCAAGAAGATTCTGGAACGAATGTGAAAGTCTGCTTGAGTATTTCTTCAGGATATTCTACTTTCTCCTGTGCAGAAGCTGACTTGTCAACCTGTCTTTCACTCAATTCTTTAAGGGCTTTGATCGTGAGCTGTTCCTGTTCTAAGTAAAAAGATGCTACTGGAGTACCTTGGGTGGGGAAAACATCCAGAGGCTCACTTCCATTTGTTTCTTTGCTTTGTTCAGAGTATTTGCTTTTCATGTCTTTAATTTCAGAACCACTGGACTCACTTTCATGCAAGACGTCTACAGGAAGGGTTGTTTTATTAAAGTCCATAGTCTTCTCTGATGTTGCTTCAAAGGCCTTTCTTTCATCTTTATCTATTATTCCTTTCTCCTTAGTTTCTGTAAAGGCTGCTATCAGGTCCTCTGGGGACGAATCATCTATATCTTTAACACATTTTTCATGTAATGACTCCAAATAGGCAGAGGTTGTCACATTTAACGAGAATCCTGTCTCATTAAAAACATTTGAAGATGCTACTGAAGGAGTAATTTCACGCATACTATTTGAGTGCTTCATATCTTCTGATGTGACATTCTTATCGGGTACTTGGGAACATGCCGCCTCATTAGCTGGACTCCTTTCAAGAACATCAGGCTGAACTTGGGGCTCAGAGTCACTGACCAGCCTTTCAAAATTTTCAGATGTTTTCTTTTCCCTATTACCATTGAGAAGCTCTTTGATTTCTCTTTCATCTATTTTTACAACAGCACTTGGAATGGAAACAGGATTTTTGGCCTGAATTTTGTGACTTTCAAATGAAACATCAGCTGTGATGTCCTCTATAACCGTGTCATCAGACTCACCAGAACTATCTGCCTCTGTCACTTCTCCCAACACAGAGCTCTGCCAGTTCATGTCATCTTCCAGGTGGTCTTCAGGTAAAACCACTTTCACTGTGGTTGCTCCAGAGCCCAGAGAGACACATTTCTCAAGCAGAGATCCAGGTACCTCTGAGAGTGTGTCATCTTGTTTCTGCACATTGCCTTGGACACTTCTGCGACTGACATCCTTTGTGGAATCCAGACAGCGTGGTGTAGGTTCTTCAACGACAGCATTTTCCTGTGGAAGAGATGCTTCTACCCAATCACCTGTTGATTTAGTGATGGGAGCACTCCCATTAATAGAACACACAGGAATTTTCTGGTGAGCATTAGTTTTAAGATTTACAACTGGAATTTCTGAAGTATATTCACTCATGTCAAGTCTTGTACTTTTTGGGATGTAGTCAGATTTATTGCTATGCTGTTTCGCTTGGGGAATCAAATCCCATGTCAGTATTTCATTAGTGAAGTTATGCATATCATTCACACATCTGGACACCTCTTCCAATGCTGCGGTGGTGTGCGAAAACTGTCTAGTGAGCAGGGCAGAGGTTGGGTAACGCCCTACCTCTTTATTTCTCAGTGGAAACACTTTGTCATTAGACTCCGAAATGTCTGCAGACGATTCCCTATCAGTGTGCACTGCCCAGCTACCAAAATCATTTGTGCTCTCCTTATATGCATCTTTAAACTCTTTGTCAAACGCTGCTCTGTCAATTATTACTTCAAATGGTGATTCAGGGGAATCCTTTTCAATAACACCACCTGCTGAAACTCTGGATGGGGACAAGGAGTGTGTACAAATGCCTCCTGCCTTAGACTGCTCTGTAAGTGGTTTCTGGGCTGTTAGCAAAGTGAAGTTGTCATCAGCATCCAAGGCAGTTTTATCATTCCTACCTGGTTCCTCATTTGGGCTCTTGGACTCTTGATCTTTATTTATTTGCTGTTCCATTTGACCAACTTCCTTTGAGAGCAAAGCGGGATGATTTGGGAAACTGGCTGGAATGGAAGGACGGTTACAATGACCTCCTTCCACAACAGAAATTGCGGGGTCGGCTATGTCTTTACTGGTCTGCTGAGGCTGTTCCATCTTTTTCACACCTAGAAGAGCCGAGCAGTCTTTTCCTTCTTCTTTGGCTAAAATAGGCTGGCTGCCTAACGTTTCACTTTTTTCTCCATGTAGTATTGTAAGGTCAGTGTCATGTATTTCAGAAGATGCAAAAAAGGAGGAAGTCATAATTTCTGAAGGTGGCTCATCAGAGCAAAGAGAGCTCAATCCCTCTATGGTCAGAATTTGAAAGAAAAAAATTGTTTACGAGGTACAAGTACACATTAGCTAGTCAGGACAAGCAGCATGCTTTTTATTTGTAAAAGTACATATATATATATAAAGTATATATACACAGGATGTATATATACACACACACACACATAAATATGTAACAAAACAATGTCAACAGTTATCCTATAGGACATGCATAAAATTGCCAACAATGAAACAGAAAAGCCGCATCATGCTACAAATTGCAAATAACAAAAAAATTTCATGACAAATACTTTTCAGTCTACTTTTTCCATTGTAAAGGTAAAGCATCAAGAAGGATAACAAGACAGGAAAACTGGGGGAAGTTTTTTCCCTTTGTTTTTTGGTAGAACTATTCAAAACTTGATATTATGAAGTTCTGACACGCTGTCATCTGTAAGCTGAACAATTCAGAACACACCACTTCTGTAACTCCACTGCACTGTTACAGTTTGAGAATCTAAGAAAAAAGTGACCAGGGTTCCTTTTGATTTTCAGGAGATACAATGGACCCCTCCTGGGCCTAAAGATCAGACTAGAATTATTCTCTTCTATCCACAGGGAAGATCGGTCCCAGGTACAGATGGCCTCTGAGTCTTAAATGAAAGGTACTGAAAAGGTTGGCCTGCTCCAAAATTTCTTGCACCAACTTGCCAATTTAACCAAATCTGAACTGTGTAAATTGGTTTCTTTGGCTAAAAAGAGTTAACTCCAGAAATCCTTTTAAACAGAAAATATCCTTCTAAAAAGTACACATGAATTAAGTCTTATTAATACCACAGTGGCCATCAATTTACCACACTGTTTTCCAACTTCCCAATCTAGTAAGTTTTTACTGGAGAAAAAGATCAGAACTGTTCCAAGGGTAGGTGCTATCGTGGTGCTGTCTTTCTTGCACATTGTTGTGTGTATCTCTGGAGTTGGAACAAAGTGGGTCTCACATGGTTCCAGATGAATGAATCAAGGGTTCAGCTGGGCAGGGGAGACCTAAGTGCGCTCAGCACAGCTAGGGCTTGAGCCTGAATGATTGGGAGGATGCAAAAGAGAAAAACCCTGGGGTTACCTTTATGCAGCTATGTTCTTTTTCATGTGAGAAGCTGCATAATAATTAGACAAAGGCAAAATTATGACTTTATTCAAAATAATTTTGTAAAGATGAATAGAAATAAAAATTAAATCTCACTGCAATGAATAAAATTCCACTATTATAAAAATGTTCTCAAATGCCAGATAAAGTTCCTCTATTTCAACACATCACTGAAATTTGATCTCATAGGATTGGACCTTTAGAATAGTGTAACTGTGATCTGGGTATTGGGGGAAAGTCTTTATAAATTGAAGGAAAAAAGTTTGGTGGTACGAACTGCACTAGTGGGACAGAAAATATTTGAAGTAAGCTGTAATTCATATTTAGTTGTAATGTAGTAAACATGGTCACATCTATCACATAGTATGTATACTTGCCAAGACCGGATTATGGATATAACACAAATGAAGCTCAGCATTGTAGGTTAAAAGGTTCAAAACCTGAAATTGAAAGAACTGTAGGCTACATTTAAATTAGAAATATTCCACAATCTGAGCTACCGTATTTTGCCATGTATAATGAGCACTTTTTTGCCCAAATTTGTGTGGGAAAAATAAGGATGCGCATTATACATGGGTAGTACTAATTCCGTATCTATATAAGTGTTTTTAATTCTTTTATTTATGCTTAGGGGTTAAAGGTGTAACTCTAGAAATCAATAACAATATCCGAATGCAAAATAATACCCTGGAATACAATAATCGGTTTTGTTGAACTTATGGATGAACTTGCAACAACAAAGAGTTCTTGGCCTTCTATGATGCGTAAATATCATAAATTTGTTACTGGTACATAAAATTTCTTGTACCATAATATGTTAAATTCCTTTATAATACAAAAAACAAGTACCTAAATGTAAACAAATAAGGGCCGGTCGAGTGGCTCCGTCAAGTGCGAGCTCTGAGCAACAGGGTTCGTCGGTTTGATTCCCGGCCTAAGCTGAGCAGCCCACAGTTGGCAGGATGGCTCAGCTTAAATAAATAAATAAATAAATAAATAAATGCAAATTAAACTAAACAAACAAATAATTTAGAAAATTAAAGCAAAAAATTTTTTTCTCTCAAAGTTTGGGCCCAAAATGTGGGTGCACATTATACACGGGAGCGCATTATACATAGCGCAATACAGTATGTACTGTTACTGAACTTACTGGTTACTATTTCCACCAGGAAACATTCAAGGGACTAAATCTGGGTTAAGGCAAAACTGTCTGGGAATCCCTCCCTTCACACAGGAATGGAACTCTGAGGTGAGTAAAACTGATTCTACCTCACAAAGGAATGCTCAGAGACTGAGATTTCAGATGATTCAGACCAGTCATTTTACAGACCAAAGTGGGCAAAATGAATTAGTAAATAGTTCAGCAAGTATTTATTGAGTGCCTCGCATGTGCCAGAAATTGTTTTAGAAACCAGGTTAAAAACAGTGGACAAAACAGAAGATGTCCTTGCCTTTGGAGCTTACAATGGGAATGGGAGACAGACAATACGCAAAACAAGTAAGTAAAATGAGGAAGAATGTGGTAGTGGGCTTGAAGAAATGAAAAACGAAGCAGCTTACACTGAATGCTCATCAGAGAATACATGCATTACTGGGGGCAAAAAATATGGTAGAAACATTCTATGCTTTGTCAGCACACAAACTTGTCAGTTTTCCAAGCCTTGCTTCTCTATTTTCCTTGATTCCTTAATACTCCAAAAGTTTCAAGTCAGGTGTATAATAATCTGAGGTGAAGCTGGAAGATTAGGTCAGAAATCTTGTTCTCACAATACTAACAAGTCCTATACTGAATGCCATGACTGCCTGACAGACTTCAAACATTTTAACTAAAGATTCTTTATTCTGACATAACGATTAAATATACAAAGATAACTTTAATCATATCCCCTAATAATAATTTTGTGACTTAATATCTGGGTGGATAGTGTTTTACTGGGGGGCAAGCTTAGCGGGTAAACAGTGTGTGATGCTGCCTTCATTTCCCAGTGACTGAGACGCAAGCGCTAGCTCCCACCATTGTCAATCACGCTTTCCCACATGTAGCAAAATACATTAACATCCTCATCTGTGCTTTAATTCTAATTACCTTACTTAGAATTTCAGCAAATAAAGTTTCTCTGGCTAGTTAAAACCTAACAAACTTGGACAGAGCTGACTTGTACCAAAACAATGGAAAAAACTGGGCTGGAAGTAAAGACTTTCTAAAAGCATGAACACATTAACCAGAACAAGGACCAGAATCTAATAAGCCTTTGAACAGCTCCCATAAGCACAGGCTCTTCCAATTAGCGTGGCACCTAATAGTCATTGGTGTTGTCCAAGTCTGTACCTGGCAAAATGGCAGAACACTGCAGCGGGTTTGAAGGTTGCTAGTTTTTAACATACCATCCATTATAAAACTGCCTGAATAAATAACTCTGGATTATCTTTCATCTCAAAAAATGTCCACTATCCTTTCCTCTTTTAAAAGATTCAGTTCTTCACATGCACTATAAGAGACTTTCAACATTATTAAAAACAAATGTCTGTCCAAAAAATCCCCTCATCGGGGCCAGCCAGGTGGCGCAGCTGGTTGGAGCCCGAGCTCTGGGCAATGGGATTGCCGGTTAGATTCCCACATGGGCCAGTGAGCTGCCAATGGGCAGCTGGATGGCTCAGTTGGTAAGAGCGTGTGCTCTTAACAACAAGGGTGCCGGTTCGACTCCCGCATGGGATGGTGGGCTGCTCCCCCGACCCCCAGCAACTAGATTGAAAGTGGCAACTTGTCTTGGAGCTGAGCTGCGTCCTCCACAACTAAGAGTGAAGGACAACTTGACTTGGAGCTGATGGGTCCTGGAAATAGAGAATGCTCTCCTTCCCCAATAAAATCTTAAAAAAAAAAAGTCACTGTGGCTATCTAAATTAAAAAAAAAAAAAATCCCCTCGTCAAGAATATTTTCTAGATTAGTTTATTAGCTATAATGGCATTTAATGTACACATTCATTTTTAAGAACTCTAATCACTTAATATGTCATTACTCTAATTATTATTATTTTTTTAAAGATTTTTATTGGGGAATTGGGGGATGGGAACAGTGCTGGGGAATTGGGGGAAGGGGAACAGAAAGTTGCTGTCCTTTTGTTCTTCAGTCTAGTTGTGGAGGACGTTGCTTCACTGGCCCAAGTTGGCACCATCATTGCGCTCTTCCCAGGCGAGGCACAGCAGTCACCGGTTTCTGGATGGCCGCTCACTGCAGCTGCTGGCCGCTCACGCTGGCTGCTGGCTATATACGGTAGCCCATGGCAACCCACTGCCACAGGGGCTGCAGCCTACGCTGTCGCCGGCGACTCACGGCAGCCCAGCTCCAGGTTAAGCTGTTGTTCAGCATCTTAGCTGTGGAGGGCAGTGTCACTGGCCCTCATATGTGGGATCTGAACCGGCGCCCTCTGGCGTCCCAAGCCAGCTCTTAACCATCACGCCACTCGGCCGGCCTGGCATTACTCTAATTATTAACAAATGGGTTACACATCTAATAGATTTGTTACAAAGGGAATCAATATATGGTAAGAGGTAAAAAAATGTGACAACTCTACAATGATCATAGAATGTCCCCAAAATTTATCCAGTACTGAGCTCCTTGCTTACCCATATCTTCTTAAACGTTAAAGCCTTATAAATCTCCATTTAAGTATATTTTCTGAAATAAGACTAGGAAATTAAGTTGGCAGTCATAGTCTAAATTTCTAGACCATTCCCAACCAAAAAATTCCAATTAAAAGATGCAAAATCATTTCATCACACTTACTAATCGTGTGGCCTCAGCAAGTTGCAATCTCATCTAAAAAAAGGGGTTACTAAAGCACCTAACTTGAGAAGTGCTGTGAGGATTAAATGATTTAATACACATTAAG